TGATCCTGGGTAACATCTACAAGCTTACTGTCTAGGTGGTCACTACATAAGTATACCACTTGGGGATTACAACTGTACTATCAGTGGTGGGTAATCGCGGGCTGTAGTGGCATTTGAGTGAGACCTGGTACCTAATATGGTGGTATAGAAGGGGTCTAGATGTTTGAAGGTTATCTGACGAAAGTCCTCTGTGACAGTAGTAATGGTAAGGGGTTTATAATAGTAGCCATTACAGTATCATGCAACGGATTAAAGGATGAGTAGGGTGGTGTTCAGCAGATTCGAAGGCCTTCGGGTCCCTGGGATATGTCCTTGCATTTCGGTTGTGGTGTTAAATTGTCCCTGTTAAAAGGGCGGGGATGGTTACATCATGATCTAGTGAGGATGATGTAAGGTTGCTTGCCGAAACCTAGGGTTTAGGCAAGATGGCGTTTCGCCAAAAAGCGAAATTCTGCCGAAATTATATTAAAGTTATATTAAAAAACTGGTGAAACTTTGGAGAAAGGCGAAACTGCTGAAACTTATTATAAATGCCGAAACTGCCGAAACTCTGCCGAAACTATAATAAATCTATAGTAAAATTTTGACGAAACTAATCGTAGGATTTTGAAGAGGTTTAGACAAGCAACCTTAGGATGATGCAATGAACGACCTACCTCCATAACCTTCAATAAAGGGTGCGGAAAGTAGTGGCCACTAAACGTACAATACACTTGTAAAATAATCACCAAATATGGACTGTTCCAAATGTGTGACTATAAAGAGAGTTGACTGTAAGTCTATCAAGAAGACTGGTCATTATAATATCAAGTTCGATACTTTTGATTTGATATAGATAACATTAATAAAAATTCATCTAAAATCAAAAAATGAAAAGAGTGATATTATTTTATTTAGCTTATGTACTCTTTATACCACTTCTATTAATTACTAATAAATAATTTTTTTAATGTTGTTGTAATTTACGTGATTCTTATTTTATTTATCCGTTTTTAGTTAATCTTTTATGTGAATAAAATCGCCGATAATCATTAGAATAACTATGTAAATTTAGTCTATAAAATCTCAACTAATCAAGTTTTTGATATTCATCACAGAAGACTCGTCATTGGAATTATCTACCAATGCTAAAATTGTTGTTAAAGCAACATGATTAATAAATATCGATACATTATTAAAAAGAAATGCTAACTAAAAATGTAATTACCAAGATACAATTTCTGTTGCTTTTTGACATATTTGATCTCAAATTCTTTAATGTTTTATTCTAAAACACAACACAAAATAAGAATTAAAATATAAAAAATAAACTGTTAATTTAGAACCCAATATTAAATAATTTTTACCTGACAAATTGAAGATTTAAATTCACCTTTAGTACCTTCACTGGTCAGAATATTCCATTTCATCCAAATTTCAAATTGACGAATGTTGGACGAAAGTTGGTCTAAATTTGGCCGATCATTACCAAAAAAATCGTCAAAATGATAATAGGCGATTTGCACAGTTCGCCTGCCACTTGGCAATCACAAATTGGCAAAAATTCATTAAAACATCGGAAATAGAACTATTCGTCAAACTTTCATTAGTCAGAATATTCCATTTCATCCAAATTTCAAATTGACGAATGTAATATGAAAGTTGGTCTAAATTCCGATCATTACCAAAAAAATCGTTGACAGTTTCTAAAAAAAACAGCAAACAATCGATTTTTTATTTTTTGACGAAATTTATCAATTTTTTTATTTATCGATTCCTATTTATTTAATTTAGCATTTTATATTTAATTAATTAATTTATCATTTATTTAATTTATTTAGACTTATTAATTTTATTTAAAAAATATAAATATACATATTTAAAATAAATAAAAGAAAGTAATATTTCGAAATTGTAAACAAAGATATTTTTCGAAAACTACCTGAAACCTATAAAAATAATAAGAACGGTTAGTATACCATCCCATAAGATTAAAAAAAAACAAAAAACTAAGATCTGTAATACTTATGAACCTTTTGTTCTTTCCTGTTCTTCAGAAACCCACCCGAAACTATAAAAAAAACAAGAACAGTTAGTAAACCGTTCCATAAATTAAAAAAAAAAATCTAAGATTCGTAATATAATACTTACGAATCTTAGTTCTTTCCGTTCTTCAAAAACTATCCGAAACCTATAAAAAAAAAGAATTAAAACGGTTAGTAAACCGTTCTATAATATTAAAAAAAATCTAAGATTCGTTAAAGATTCGTAACATATCTTAGTTCCCCTTTGAAATCATAAAAAAAACGATAAGTTTCGTAACGAAACTTACCATTTCCACATTCCAATAGTACCCGATCCAGCAAATCCTCAAGAACTCTACAAGAAAAGAAAAGAAATGTTAGAAAACATTTCTATTAACAAATAAAATAAAATAAATTAAATTATATTTCGCAACGTTTCATTGCGAAATTTACCATTTCGGCATGTTCGATATTCCGAAACCGAAATCTACAAAAAAAGAAATGTTAAAAAACGTTTCTAAGAAAAAAAATTAAAAAATGTTTCGAAGTTACAACTTTGAAACTTAATTTCCAAAATACCGGATACTGGAAAAACCTACAAAAAAAAGAACACGAAACGTTAGTTACGTTTCGTTAAAAAAAATTAAGTTTCGAAGTTGCAAATTCGAAACTTACCATATCTAACGCCAAAATTTGAAGCCAAAACCTAAAAAAGAAACAAAAGAATGTTAGACGTTTCTATTTAAAAAAAGTAAGAATTAAGCGTTGCGAAACTTACCGTCTTTATTTCCAGTAGTATCGCTCATTCACAAAAATCTAAACCTACAAAAAGGAATAAAAAAATGAAATATTAGAAAACGTTTTGATAGAAACAATAGCTCATTAACAACACTCCTCCATCCTTACCGAAATCCATCTCCAAAGATCTGAAGTGCTGACCGTCTGAAAAAAAAGAAAATTAACGAAATGTTAAGATCATTTCGTTAAAAAAGATGTTTTTCTTCTAAAAAAACAATATTCACCTTTCGAAATCCAAAGAACTGACTCGCCTCAAAATAAAAAAAATGAACTGTTAGTAAAGTTCGTTAAATTAATAAAAAATAAAATTACAAAAAACAAACCTTCTAATATTATCATCAGAATTCCACGCGCCTAAAGTGAAAACGCATAACAAAGTAATTCATTATTAAAAAAGACAAAAAAATGAAGTTCACATTTCTTTTTCGAAATTTAGGTAATAAATTCTTTCTCGCTCCAATAGAGCTCAATTCGACGTATTTACCTAATAGTCTGATGTCACCTTTATGGTCCTCGTTAGGTCCTATTAATCACGACATACGCCAATTCTCTAAGACGTCACTGATTGTTGTACCTTCAGTGATTTTTTAAATAATCATACTTTACGGTCACTATTCGATAATTTCAAGGTCGACCAGATCCACTGGCCTCTCACTCAAGCTTGGCTACAGCATAACCACACGGATGACATCTGCAGTTCAAAAAAGTCTGCATATGACGCTTTTAAGCTAAAAAATCTCAACCACATTCTGCTTTGTGGCAATATTCTATCATAAACACTATCCCAAGTTAAACCCTCGCCCATTTTTTACCTGTGAAGTGACATATTGTATGGTGTATCAATCACCTGAAATGTGCAGAAAGATATTCTTGCTGAAATAATAGCGATAGTGTTGTACATTGAATTAATACCCGTGATTTCTTTTCTAGGTTTCGCACAGAATATCAACCAGCTCGAAAGCGCGTGCATAAGACGAACAAGAGGAAGAAAGAGAAGTGAGGTTACTTTTAATTAAATCTATGGCTGGCCAAGACTGGCACTTCTTACTGTACACTCTCGGAGTCATATCAAGATGCAGTAAGTGGCCACACAATCAATTTAACCGATAATGCTTTGAAAAGGGATGGAGGAGTATCATACTTTGTAGCTACTCCTATGATTCGTTATTTATGAAAAGATCTGATCTAATTATTTGATCTGATAAATGATCTATAATCAATTAATAAATAATAAAAATTAATCTACATTTTTAAAGCTTTCTTGGAAATAATTATTATTAAAAGAACTTAACTGAATAAATTAAAGAATCTTTTATTATTATGATAAGGGTGTGATGAAGGTTTTGGGCGTAATCATTGGTTTGTTAAAGGATAGTGCGTGTGCGGATAAATCTTCCGAGATATTCGAAGAAATCGTCTGAAAGAAAGATAGAAAATGAAACGTTAATATACGTTTCGTCAAAAAAATATTCAGAGAAAACTGAATTTCAACATTGTTTTTGGCCATCTAAAAAGAAACCTGAATTTCCAAGCGTCTGACGGCCGAAATGAATTACATTTCCACAAGAGATCCACTGAAACGAAAACGTAACTTAAAAGATAAATTTATAGTTTTTTCACTTCTAGAAAACGTTTAATTTAGGTGAAGGGAAGATTTAAAAAGAGGAGGAAACGAAAGAGAGAGGAAAAGAGAGAAACGAAAGAGAGGGAGAGAAAGGGGAAGAACGAAAAAATGGGAAAAGGGAAAAACAAAAGAGAAAAAGGGAAGTTTCATTAAAAAAAAGTTTAAAAAAGTTAAAATACATGAATATGTAATGCGACTGACGCATGATACGGCTGATATGCGTAATACATAATTTTATATTTGGTATGATGTCGATATTTATCCCTTAAAAAAATTTTCCGATATAATGGCCGATTTTTAATAATAACCAGTGTTCAGCAATTTTTTTTTAACAATTAGGTGATTGGTGAATTTTAAACGGTTCTTAAGACCGGAAATAGGTGATAAATCGGCAAACCTAATTTTGGTCAATTTTCACCCAGTTTTTAATGCAGGCCGGAACTTTACTGAAACTTCGGCCTGCATTACCGAAATTTGGTTGGCATGGTTGATTGCCGATTTTTCTTATTTCGACTAGTGCTTTTAATATAATGATATTATTCGCAACAATATCAATTTGAAATAAACTAACAATTTTAGTATTAAAATTTTTAATATCATCCTTATTAAATGTTACTTGTTCAACAATTAAACCTCTTTTCTTCATTTTTTTCCAAATTGAAGTATTTTTTCTTGGAGCCGATTTATTTTTCCAACTATCTTTAAAAAATAATAATATATTGTTAAGAGTAAGTGATTAGCTTTCGGGATGACCTGTAGTTAAAATTTTATTTCCCTCCCTTCTAATAATGCCTACAGACTTTTTGTTGATAGATTCAGGCAAGCTAGAAACACTATTTGGAAAGTCATCTTATGAAATGCAGAAAAATTATCACAATATTTGCATTTTAATCGGTCATTAGGAACAGCAAAAAATGTTTGACATCCACACGAAGCTCCCTTTTTTTGGCAAGCTCCCAAAAATGGCGTTGAAGAATTTCAAAACAAAATGGAAAACCCGGTATAAAACGCGTTAAAATGATTGCAATAAAAACATTTTCCTGGATTATTATCGTCTTCCATATAAGTTTGGCAACTACAAAATTTATTGTTAATATTGCAAACACCAAGTGAGGACATCTTCTTTTAAACTAAAAAGAAAAAAAATAATGTATCACGATTAGTATATTTATATTTTATTTCATTGCGCAGCAAAGATTGATGCTGCAGTCAGTTGAAATATGACTTCTTTACTTTTTAGTTTTAAATCACACGCAGTTACAACCAAATTTGATACATTTATGCCTATTTCTAAGCGATAAACTAAATATCTTCGTATTTGATCGGTAGTATCAAAGCATCAAAATATTATAATCGTTTCTTTATAGTGATAGTTTTCTAACAATTATATAAATTATAATATAAACGAATCCATTTTTTCCCCAAATATAATATTTATAATTAAAAAAATTCTATACAATAAATTTTTCTGCTAAACAAAATTTTCTTTGTTATTTATCATATAATAAATTTAAATTTTTTTTATTATTCTAGTTAATTCACTGAGTTTGGTTTTCTCTAAATTTATTTTTTCAATGCATTTGCTGCATAACTTATGATTATGATTTACTTTAATTCCACATCTGGCAAAGCATTCTTTTAATTCGTTGTTAAAGTCATCATCATGCCATGGAATTAAACGCTCACTTATTTTCCAACATCTATGGCATCTATAATCATAAATTTTCTTTTTTTCCATCTTTTTATATTTATGATTCATTTGATGTATTTTTACATTTCTGAAAATAACTGAGTTTATATACATAATGAACAATGCAATTATATTGCTTAATAATTACGTTTATTAAAAAATTGTCATAATAACTGGGTAATTTCCGCAACTTATTTTTCCTTTAAGTAATATATTTTATTTATGTACTATACTTAAAAACAAGTATTTTTACATTACCGATTGTATTATTAATTAAAGTATTGTTTTGAATCTACTGTGTTGATTGCATTGTATTTAATGTTCCAAAAAAAATCCGATCTGATCCGTATCCGCGGATCTGATCCGAGACAGATCAGATCGAATCATAGATTTTATGATCCGTGATCTGATCCGAATCAAAAAAATTTGATCCAATTTGGATCGAATCGAATTGGATCAACAATTCATACAAATCAAATCAGATCGGATTAGATTCAAGCGGATCCAGATCGGATCCAGATCGGATCAGATCCAAAAAGCCTTTTTTCATAAAAATAAGATGAAAAAATGCCCTGTTATTAAATTGAAAACGTTGCGAATTGTTAAGTTAATTGTTAAAAAACGTTTCGCAATATTTTTATTAAAATAATTGAGAACCGTTGCGAAATGGTTTTTTTTACATTAAATTGAAATAAAAAAACGTTTCACAACGTTTTTTTATTAAAATGATTAAAAACCGTTGCGAAACGGTTTTTTTTCATTAAATTGAAATAAAAAAATGTTTCGCAACGTTTTTTTATTAAAATATTAAAAAACCGTTGCGAAACAGTTTTTTTTCATTAAATTGAAATAAAAAAACGTTTCGCAACATTTTTTTATTAAAATGATTAAAAACTGTTGCGAAACAGTTTTTTTTCATTAAATTGAAATAAAAAAACATTTCGCAAATGTTCTTTTATTAAAATATTAAAAAACCGTTGTGAAACGGTTTTTTTTTCATTAAATTGAAATAAAAAAACATTTCGCAACATTTTTTATTAAAATATTAAAAAACTGTTGTGAAATGGTTTTTTTTCATTAAATTGAAATAAAAAAACGTTTCGCAACGTTTTTTATTAAAATATTAAAAAACTGTTGCGAAATGGTTTTTTTTTCATTAAATTGAAATAAAAAAACGTTTCGTAACGTTTTTTATTAAAATATTAAAAAACCGTTGCGAAACGGTTTTTTTTCATTAAATTGAAATAAAAAAATGTTTCGCAACGTTTTTTTATTAAAATATTAAAAAACCGTTGTGAAATGGTTATTTTTTTCATTAAAAATTGAAATAAAAAATGTTTCGCAACGTTTTTTATTAAAATAATTGAAACCCCGTTGCAAAACAGTTTTTTCATTAAATTGAAATAAAAAAATGTTTCGCAACATTTTTTTATTAAAATAATTAAAAACCGTTGCGAAACGGTTTTTTTTCATTAAATTGAATAAAAAAACGTTTCACAAACGTTTTTTTATTAAAATATTAAAAACCATTGCAAACCGGTTTTTTTTATTCGTTAAATTGTAATAAAAAATATTTCGCAACGTTTTTTATTAAAATGATTAAAAAACCGTTGCGAAATGGTTTTTTTTCATTAAATTGAATAAAAAAACGTTTCGCAAACATTTTTTTATTAAAATATTAAAAACTGTTGCGAAATGGTTTTTTTTATTCGTTAAATTGGAATAAAAAACGTTTCGCAACATTTTTTATTAAAATGATTAAAAAACCGTTTTGCAACAGTTTTTTTTTCATTAAATTGAAATAAAAAATGTTTCATAACGTTTTTTATTAAAATGATTAAAAAACCGTTGCGAAATGGTTTTTTTTTCGTTAAATTGGAATAAAAAACGTTTCGCAACATTTTTTATTAAATGATTAAAAAACCGTTGCGAAACGGTTTTTTATTCGTTAAATTGAAATAAAAAACGTTACGTAATGTTTTTTAAATAATGGATTCGAGTCAAAATCGGATTCATCTGATTTGATTCGTTTGGAACACTAAGTTGATAATCATGATGTTTATCAACCAACATATGTAGCACCAAAAAATTTTTTTAAAGATTTTCGGTTTATTTTTTTTGTAAACTAACTATGGACGCAGAAGACAACAATGAAGGAAGTTGTCATAATTCTGAGGATGAAATTGATGCGTCCCTACCGGCAACACCAGCAAGAAGATTAAGTAATTTAGAATCGTTAGAAAAAGCTCAAAATAATCAAGGCAGTTTTGTATGGAGCCATTTAAAAAAAGATGAAAATTTTAAATATAATAAAAGAGCTACCTGTACTTATTGCAGCAAAACTTATATATGTTTTGGAGGTAGTACTACAAATATAACAAAACATTTAAAAAATGTTCATTCTATACAGCAAGAAACTCAGTCAACTGGAGTAAATGTTTTAGAAATGTTAAAAGCACTAAAGGTAAAAATAACTTCTTATTTTATTTTTATTTCATAAATTTTATTAATTAATAGATAATTGTATTATTATTTAGTGGTCATATGATCATAATGAAATGATAAATAATCTGGTAAAATGGATTGTTATTAAACAACATGCATTTACAATTGCTGAGGAGCCAGAATTTATCAATTTTATACATTCATTACACCCTACTGCGAAAATTCCCAGTGCTGACACAATTAAATCTCATATTTCGAATTTTTATAGAACTGACAGAGAAAAAGTTCAAAATATTTTGTTAAATATTCCAAGAAAAATTTCATTTACAATTGACTGCTGGACCAGTCCTTCAGTCAAATCATTTTTATCAATAACTGCACATTTTATTGATAAAGACTGGAAATTACAACATATACTGTTGGATTTTTTTGAAATGTTTGATTCACATACTGGGCAAAATTTAAAAGAAACATTTGTAACAGGTTTAGAGTATTTTTCAATGGAAAAAAAAGTATTTTTATTTTTTATTAGTTTATTTTGATTTTAATTTAATTAATTATCAAATTTACCAATATTTAATATTTATAGTTAATGGGCATTACATTAGATAATGCGTCAAATAATGCAGTATTCATTCGTTTATTAACTAATTGGGCAATAGTCAAAAGAATTTCTTTTGATAAAAATGATAATCATTTTAGGTGTTTTGCCCATGTCATTAATTTAAGTGTTCAAGCAGCATTGACCCAATTGGAAAGTGAAATTTCTAAGGTAAAATTATTATTTAACTTATTTATTATTTTATAAATTCTTTTTTTAATACTAATAAAATTATTATATCTTACAGCTTAGAGATCTTGTTAATAGAATTCGTGCATCTTCTTTACGTCATGAAAAATTAAAAATGGCATGTAAAAATAATCAATTAAAGGATTTAACACTTATACCTGACGTACCCACGAGGTGGAATTCCACTTACGAAATGATTTAAAGATCATTACAATTAAAAATTGTAAGTTGATTTTTGTAAATATTAAGTTTTTAATAATTTCAATAATTCAATTATTTATTAATTTTAATTATATAATTAGGCCATTGATTCTGTTACACTTAATGATCGTGATCTTAAAAAATATTTACTTACAGAGAATCAATGGGCTGAACTTGAAAAAATTAAGGATTTTTTATTTCTATTTCAACTATAATGTCTGGATTTACTTATCCAACACTTTCTGCTACTATTCCTTTATATAATATTCTTATTGATCATGTTGAAAATGTTATTGGAGATGTAAATGTTATTGGAGATAAAAATGAGGAAGTTATTGAAGATGTAGATGATGAATCTGAAGCTAATAGTGGCAACAACAATGAGAATGAATGGAGTCAAATTATAAAAAATGCTGCGAAAATATGCAGATTAAAATTGCTGGAGTATTACAACAAGACAAATTATTCATATTTAATTTCTACTATTTTGGATCCAAGATTGAAATTACAATATTACAAGGATAATGAATGGGGAGATGAATTAATAAATGATATTCAACAAAAGTTAGTATTTTACTAATTATTTATATTATTTACAATTATATATACTAATTTTATAATTTTATTAAATTTTTAGGTTTTTAAGTATGTATAATAAATCACTATTCAATCTGATCAAACTGAAACTCCTAATAAAGAAAAGTCAGTAATGTCCCGTGTATTCAAACGTCGTCGTGTGGAAAGTTCTGCTGATGAATACCAAATATATCTTTCTTTACCCCAGCTTGATGGAAACGAAGATCCACTTGAATGGTGGAAGAATAATGAGCAACAATTTCCAAGCCTTGCTAAAATGGCACGTGATTTTTTATCAATCCCAGCCACAAGT